CACACACAGACATATATATATATATATATATGAAGAGTTCAGATGCAAAAGCCTCTAAATGCCATTTGAACTTTTCTTCTAAAATGACCATTTTTATCAAGCTTGTATATTTAAGTTCAGTAATTTCACTTAAATGACAATTAATTTGGCAATCTTCATTGCCATTTAAGTGATATTATTGAACTTAAATATACAAGCTTGATAAAAATGCTCATTTTAGAAGAAAATTTCAAATGGCACTTAGAGGCTTTTGCATCTGAACTCTTCATATATACACTTGCCTTAAGGATTATTAGGAACACCTGTTCAATTTCTCATTAACGCAGTTATATAATCAACCAATCACATGGCAGTTGCTTCAATGCATTTAGGGGTGTGGTCCTGGTCAAGACAATCTCCTGAACTACAAACTGAATGTCAGAATGGAAAGAAAGGTGATTTAAGCGATTTTGAGCATGGCTTGGTTGTTGGTGCCAGACGGGACGTTCTGAGTATTTCACAATCTGCTCAGTTACTGGGATTTTCACGCACAACCATTTCTAGGGGTTAAAAAGAATGGTGTGAAAAGGAAAAAAACATCCAGTATCCTGTGGGCGAAAAAGCCTTGTTGATGCTAGAGGTCAGTGGAGAATGGGCCGAATGATTCAAGCTGATAGAAGAGCAACTTTGACTGAAATAACCACTCGTTACAACCGATGTATGCAGCAATACATTTGTAAAACCACAACACGCACAACCTTGAGGCGGAGGGCTACAACAGCAAAAGACCCCACCGAGTACCACTCATCTCCACTACAAATAGGAAAAAGAGGCTACAATTTGCAAGAGCTCACCAAAATTGGACAGTTGAAGACTGGAAAAATGTTGCCTGATCTGATGAGTCTCGATTTCTGTTGAGACATTCGGATGGTAGAGTCAGAATTTGGCGTAAACAAACTGAGAACATGGATCCATCATGCATTGTTACCACTGTGCAGGCTGGTGGTGGTCGTGTAATGGTGTGGTGTAGCATCAACTGCAAGATGCTATCCTATCAATTTCAAAAGAATGCTTTTAGCACCTTGTTGAATCAATGCCACATAAAATGTTTTGAAGGCGAAAGGGGGTCAAACAGTATTAGTATAGTGTTCCTAATAATCCAGGTAAGTGTACAGGATACACACACACACACGTGCATGTGTGTATGTGTACATACTGTATGTATTTATGTATTTATATATTTTTTTCTCTCTTCTGGAAAAACGTTGGTGTTTTTCCCACTTCAGAAAAATGATATTATGTCTGTCATGCAATTTGTTTTGATGAGATTCCATTAGGCCTAATTACTTGTTTATAATGTTTTTTAAGCACAAATGATCTGATTATTCCATAACAAAAGCATTCATACAGATGTTCACAACCATCTAAATATTTATTGTAAGTTTCATTAATATTTTTTTTTTAATTTCAACAAACAAACAAACATTTTTAAATAAATGTAAATATCTTACATAGTAAATATCCTATTTCTGGAAAAACATTCAGAAACATTCAGAGTCCAAATTAACTTGGATTTCCACAGACCTAAATAGACTCCTACCCATTCTCTAGCAATCTTTTCAGTGTCAAACCAAATAAATGGACCTGTTTCAGCAGTTCGGCAGCACTAATGTGTGGATGCACCTGTGCTGCTTTGTCATGGGTCACTGGAGGATGTGTGTGATTAAACACGCCAGCTTCATGCCTTTAAGAGGAACATCAGCAGTGGGTACGGAGCTCACAGATGTATTATTATCACACCATTTTGTAAACAGAAATCTCTGGTTATTAAAAAGCTCAGACAAAATCGAGGTATGATTAACACATAATACAAACGAACTAAATTAATACTGTGTTATTTAACTAGAGTTGTTTGATTTGTATATACAGTATATATATATACTACAAAATGTTCTAAAAAAAGACACTTTTTTTAAAGTACATACGACTTGCATTGACGGGAATGTCTGATCTGTCCGCCTAAAGTTGCAAGGCAGGTGCAAATGCACGTATCTGATTCATATCAGATTTATTTCCACATATGAATGAGGCCTGAAACATCAAGAATGACTGAACTCCCGCAGTTTAACGTTGCAGGTTTAGTAGTATCCAAGTCTTGCACCCAGCCGCAGTAGAATTGTTCATAAGTTTCTAATGACTTAAACTCTTGCATTGTGTAGGCAGTAAGGTTAAGCACGGATAACATAAACCAGGTAACTGACTACGTCCGGGTATGTGAAAGGTGGTATGCTTCGGGTCTTTCGTCCATTCTGTAGCAGGTCGTAGTATGGGTCCATGTTGTTGTTGATGTCAAGTAGTTTCTCTAATAAATGGGGTGTCACGATTCTCCAAATCCTCGATTCTATGAAATTCCAACGCATTCTCATCCTTTAACGTCATATAGAACGCTATATGACAAAACGGCGCTATACTACGCACATGGCACCCGTTATCGTTAATATAACAAGTGCTGTGAGGGCTAAGTTTAGGTGTGGGGTAGGGTGTGCGTGTCATATTCACGCTAAAGAATTTATAACGTCTTGGGTTCGCGTGTTATATTAACGATAAAGGGTGCCATGTGCGTAGTATAGCGCCGTTTTTGCATATAGCGTTCTATATGACGTTAAAGGATGAGAACGGTCAATATCAATATGCGGTAGACTCACGAAACTTCCGCGAGACTTGGGATGTCTGCAAACTGTGGCTTTTTTGAAGTGCGAACGTTGTCAACATAACTCACTGGAAATCCCCAAAACTTCCACACCTGCGACTTCAATGAAAGAGGAGGGGGTTCAAGTACCATGCTATCTTTTGAATGACTGTAGCCAAGTTAGAGGAGGTTGACCATGGACTCACAGCACTTCAACATGTGTGTTTTTTCCGCTTGGCAAGCCAAACGGACGTGACATGGGGGCGTGGCAGCAACGACAATTCCTTTTTTTAATTCGAAGTTCTAGATTGTGAATTCATTTTGATCGATTTCGATTAAAAAAAAAAAAAACGTGACACCCTATAAATAACGCTGCTTGGTGGTGTTGTCTCTCCCAATAAAGCCCCTTTCCTTTTGCTTCCCCCTTTTTCATTTGTTCTCAAGAAACTGTGTCTTATCACGAAAATGCAAACAAATATCAAGCTCTTCTCAGTCTCGTGCACAAGTAACCATGACAACGCATAGCGTATCCTTCTAAGATGGCGAATCCTTCCCATAATGCAACGTGGAGTGATAAGCGTGAGGTCACATTCTCAATACTTAGCAGCAGTCTGTTATCAAGATATAATGGACCACATTCTACATTAGAATTCAACAATAATCCTAATAAGAAAACAACAACGCTATCAACAACACATTGCTATGATAATGCAGACGCACGTAAATGCCCAACGACAACAGAGGTGGCCTGTGGTGTGGGAACGACGCTCCAAACAGTCCTGGGAGATCGTGGTTCAGAGACACTTCACGGAAAACCTTTGGTTGAAGTATTTTTATTTATTTATTTTTTTGCTTTGTCCACTTACATCTGTTGTTGTTGACACGCGAAATACTGAACAGAAATGTTTCCGAAAAACTTCAATGTTTTTTGGCGTGTTGCAACCATAAAATGAACACAAATTTTATCGCAATTCATTATTTATTTGGCAAATAACAATTCCATCAGCGTTTATCGCATAAGCCATATACCAATCAAGTTAAAATCCGATGAGATCGAACTCATTTAATTTGAGTCGATATTCATGAAATTCCATAGGACATTTTTCATTTGATATTACTTAATTCAGATAAAGACGTGTGGATGGAAAAATCGACTGATCTATACAAGTTCTGTATTGTGAGTTGTAAGTACCAAAATGATACTGCGGTCAAATACATCAAAATAACTGTCTTGGCGAGTATTCAGCTAAACACAGTTAGTTTTGGTATGTTAAATAGTTGAGAGAAACTGCATATTGAGAAACAGTATATTGGATCTGTGCATAAACTCTTAAAGTGTCAGCTAGGGCTGTCACGGTGAAGTAATTTCCTTTGCGGTAATTTTGAAGACTCAATAAGCAGTCAAAAAGGTAAACAGAGATAAAACGCATATAACTGTAGACTATACTGAATCAAATGTTTGTTTAAATTAATACAGCCCTGGTGAACATTAGAGACTTTAAAAAAAAAAAACAGTTTTCACAATTTTGGCAGGTGCAGTATCTAATAAATTTGATCAAGAAGCTTTTATTAATGCAACTTTATTTCAGCATCATTCACAATGCTTCATATGATTGGTGTTATTTCTCCTCAATAAAGCAGTTTATTACAGTCTTGTACCTGTCTTTTTGTCCAATTTTCGATTTCCTCAAATTAAAGTTTGTAATGTTGTGATTCACCTCATAGCTGGTTAGTTTCGTTCATGGAAGACTTTTTTTATCCTAATCCTAACTACTTTCAGAATAAAAAAAAACTGAAAAAGTAGGCAATGTTGCACACCGGAGGTAAAGATTCTAAACAAAATATCAGTCTGTCCCTTACACAAATTTACCATACAGCTTCAAAAGACATTAAGAATAGCACTTAAAGTCTGAGCTATAGTTCATTGGTGATATTGTATCCTTTTCAGGTTCGACATCTTTACTTACACTACACTACACTGCATTGCAATGGCATTTTTCAAAATCTCCTTTTTTGTGTGTTTCACAGAAGAAAAACAATAAGGCACGAGTCTAGAACAAGATGAGGGGTATGGGATTTCAGCCCGTTCTCATCCTTTAACGTCATATAGAATGAACTATGCAATGCAAACTCATTTGTCTTCCTCGCAGTTGTGTGTTTGTTGTAAAGTAGACAACAGCCCCAGCAGAATGTGAAACCCTAATGAACAGTCTACATTTTTGGGGATCATGTGCACCTACACCAATCGAGAATCGAACATGCATATCATATCCCTATCATTCTGGCTATGTATGTAGGCAGTACAAGGTTTGAGACAAAACCGCAGTCTTACCCAGCTTTGACCGAGACTCTTCCAGCTTCTGAATCTGGTTCTCAATAAAAAGCATCGCCACTCCAAACGCCATAACAGCCAGCAGCTGGAACTTGGGTGGCATGATGATCCTCAGGAGCCCCATCTAAGTATCGGATGATTATCTACATGTCATGCCGTAAATTTGCATGAGAAGCGTGGATCAATCCGTTACTGGAGCAGTAATATAGACTCCGGACAGATGATCTCGATTATGCGCAGCAGAGAACACAGTAAAGTTAATAATTTGGTAACCGAATACATCAAGTGCAAACAATGGCATTTCAGACGCTCATCTGTTAGCAGAATGTGGTATTCTGATAAAAACCCAGGACTCCTGACTCTCGGTCTTAGTTGTTGCACATCAGCGCAGCTCAAATCGTCCACTGCTCTGCTCTCCTGCGTCAGTCAACACAGGGATTTTATTCCTCCGCGGACTGAAGTGAGGCGAGTGGAAAGAGATGACGCTTATAGCGCCATCTATCGAGTTGGAGATTGACAGAAACGATCGCTGATACTCACTTCACTTGACTTAATGTGCATAATATTAATACGAATCTGTTTCTGCACCTCTATTCTAGCCTACGCGTAAATACTGGCTTAAGTGGCTGTCCCAAAAACTGTTTATTATCTTTCAGTCATTTAGTCACTTGGCCTTTGTCATGTGGCCAAGTCAAATGTATTCATTTTGCGTCTCGCCGTCTTGCGATATGTCAAGGTTTTGAGGCCTTTTCTAAGTGATTTACAATCTTTGGCTAAATAAGATTTGAGGGTGGGTTCTTTTCAATAATTTATCAATAATATTAGTAGTTATAAATTATAATAATACATTATAATAAATACAAATTAAAAACATAGGGCTACATGGGTAGGCTAATCTACAAACAAACATGCATACGCTCTAAAATGCTGGGTTTAGAGTTTTTTATTGGCTTATTTTTTATATGTTCAGGTTCATGGGTTTACTGTTCTATTTCACTAACGTTTTGAGAGAGAATAAAAAAATATTTAAAAAAAAACATTAGCAGGAAATATGAAGAACACAATAGGCTAAATAAAACTGAGAAACATAACCAACTGAACATGTGATGATAAAACTGCATAATGGTTTAGAAGGCTGATTCTGTAGACCTCTCCAAGTATTTTGAGCATCTGACTCATATTTCTGAATGTAATTGCAGTGTCCACCATGGGAATGATGTAGATATAAGAATAACTGTATTTATTCTCTGCTGTACTAAACACAGTAAGACCTGTAGAGGCATGCATTAAAATTGCCACGGGTCAAATAATCTAGATTTGGCTTCTTAAAATAACTCCTCTTACTGTTTGTCACACAGCAGGCACGGTGCTGAATTATCATATAGCCTATAGGCCTATGTATCACTCTCATCTTCCTGTGGCAATATAAATATATAAAGCCACATGTTTCCTCACAGACTGCAGTATATGATGTTGAAGCAACCAATAGCTTACTGCACATCCAAGGCCATATTGTGATGTGTTTTATGCTTGGCATCATTTGTGTCTCAATATAAGCACTGAAGATAACAAAGAGAGGAAATGTCTCAAACAGACTGCCCAAAAGACACAAAGAAGATGTTTGTAACAGCTTCTCTATTGCCAGACTTTCCAGTGACGCAAACATTGATGAATAGATTTTTTTTTTTTTTTGGAATGTGGCTTCTTTTAGGGGTGAATGATCAGTCTCTGTGTAAAGCAGAACATTTTTGAGCATTTACTGTGTGAAACTATAAAAAGCATGAAGCTTTTCGTACCACTCTTAAACTCCCACCACACCATGTTGTTGTCAATGCTGCTTTCCTCAGTAATCTGTGCTTATAATTTTCTGAAAGTTGTTAAATCCATTTTGGCATTGTACATTTCTTTCCATTTCTACACAATGAAAGATAGAAGTAAAATAGGTGTTAAAGATAGGTGTTAAATTTAGTGCATCTTGTTGTGCATTTAGTGCATTATATTATATGTTGTTAATTATTTTATAAGAAATTTTTCGATAGTCCCCTTTAGTCATTACTAACTATAACTTTGCAACTATACCATGTCATTATTAGACTGAATATCTGCTAACTCTTTATTGTGATGGTTCACCAACAGGTATTCAACTGACCATAACCTTGCAGCTACAGTACATATCAACTTTTTCAACTTATTATGCAAACACTCTCTAAAAGTCAAATCTCTAAAAGTCTTCTTTGCCAAAAGGCAATTTATCCACAAATTAATACAAGCGTTTTAGACTATAATTTAGGTTTCACCCTCCACTAGTTAGTTTTTGTATTGATGTGTTGTGTAGTTAATTAAACCTTTAAATTTATTTATTTTACTGCTGTATGCCTCTAATTAATTTTTAATTGAACATTTAAAATGTAGGCCTACTCAAATTACATATTTAAAAAAAATAATAATAAATTTGACAAAAGCCTACATTGGTTAATAAAAAAGTTAAGTGAACCTTGTCCATTATTATTATTTAAAAAAAAAACAAACAAACAAACAAACAAACAAACAAAAAAACATTTCAACCAATATAGACTTGGTTAAAAAGGCCCAAACATTTTGAGTGTTTATTTAAGTTTGGTTACACTTTATTTTGATGGTCCATTTTAGACTACCTATACTAACTAACTTTGCAACTACATGTCAACTAACTCTACGGAGGATCTATCAGTACAATACACGGCCAATACATTTTCATGAAATTATTTGAGATCCACATGCAGTGTTTTTTATGTTGTATTGTTGAGACGCTTTTGTGTGACTTGACCAAAAGTAAGATCTGGGGCTTTTTTTTCCCTGAATTATTTTTTCTCTTATGAGTTGAAATATATTGTCCCTCATGCACTTTGAAATAATATTACTGCAGCAAAATTAGCAGTTGAGAGGCATTATGGAGAAAAGAGTAAAACAAAGACATACGGGAGGCAACCTTAAAAGGATTACAACACTAATCAGCAGTAAGGCATCTGTTAAGGCAGTGAAAATACATATTAGAAGCTAATTAACAATGCATTAATCATGCCCAGACATCCATTATTAACCGCAAAACTAGTCATTAATAATAAATGTTTTGGCCTAAATGCTAATTTATTATAGCAGTGAAAAACAGAGAGATCTGAGGTTCAGTGTGGCGTTTTCCTATTAAAAGTGTTTTACATTACAATAACTCTTCTTAAAAGAGTAGAGTAAAAAGTCACTTTTTTTACTCACCTCCATGTCATCCAAGTTATCTTTATCCATGTTATCAATGTTTTGATGAAAACATTCCAGGATTTTTATCCATACAATGCACTTTACAGGGCACCAAACGGTTCAAGGTCCAAAAGACAGTTTCAGTGCAAACTGCAAACTGTTCAAAGGGCAATAAAGGAGCATTTCACCCATTTCAACATTAATCTACCAAACGTGAACTACTCTACCGAAAGTGAACTACTCTCCGGACTATGGGAGACCGTGCTTTCTCCTCTGCTGCCCCGCAACTGTGGAATTCACTGCCAGTCCACCTGAGGGCACCACAGTCAGTTGACCATTTTAAAAAAGGCTTAAAAACTTTCTTATTTAGAAAAAGATACTTTCAATCTAGAATTTCACTTTTTATGTTATCTTATTCTTGCCCATTTTACGCTTGCTGTAGCACTTTGAGATCTGTTCGCAAATGAAAAGTGCTTTATAAATAAAATGTATTAATATTATTATTATTATTAATAATCTTTATTGAAAGTGGATCATATATGAAGTCGAAATGTAAAATATTTTTTGAATTTGGTGCCCTCTTGACCGAGAAAAGACAGAAACTAACCGAGGGGCGCATTTGTCTGTAAGACAACAACTCCCACAATGCACCACATTGCACAGCTCCGCAAGCCACACCCACTAATCCGGAACTGCGCACGCACACATCAGAGAAATCACTCTTCCGTCTACAAGGCTAACGTTTGCTGTCACCAGCGTTTGAAATATATTTCACACAAAATTTCTAGTTAGTTGGCTGTGGCGAGCAGGACGATCGAGGGCGAGGGACGTAAGAGGCCGGTGGCCTGAGTGATTATGAAAGACACAGCGCGCCGGTCTCACGTCTCTCACGGAGGAGCGAAAGCATAAAATGAGGAGCGACGACGGCAGATCGAGAGAGAAACAGGCCTGATTTTATGCTGTTTTGTTTCTGTTGTGTGTAACATTACAGCAGTCGTCAATGAGGGGCTGTTGGCTTATAGAAATTAAAATGTTTAAATGTTCGCCGGTTCCCACCTCCTTCCTCCCACAACAACAAACACCGTTAACCGTTAACATTGGCAAACTCATTAGTGAATTACTCCTCGTATGTATTTATTTCTATATAGTGAATTACTGCATGATACCTGGATGTTCAGTCAGGCGAAAGGATGGTTCACATCACAACACAAACGTCCGTTTGCCCATCTGATTCAGAGATTTCGTTCAGGAGAAATTGCCATAGTTGAAATTCTCTGCAGTGTTTGTAGTTCACAGCGAGAGAACATGCTCAGCAGTTCGTCTCAGTTCAAGCCAGTCCAGGCTCTTCGACCGAGAGCACATGCACCAGCAGTCCGCCTCAGCTCGAGCCAGTCCAGAGTGGGTTTCTTTTATAGAAACAAATCTGGTTTTACTCTAAATAATAGAAAACAAATTATTGAATCCACTTTTTTTCCCCTCTCATTGACTAGACACAATCTATATGCATGCCTCTGCCTCTGTTCTAAAACCTCAATGCAGTAGCCTATATAGTCCCATTCGTTTTATTACAGGGGACGGGCTACTTTGCCAGAAAGTAAATTGCCTGCCCCTAAAATCTCATAGAGAAATGCATTTTGCTCTTTTTGTGTATAAAGCTCTTTTGCACAAACTATCTTTTATTAATTCACTTTTAACTGCTAGATAGCCTGGTTACCAGACCAGAGCCCAGGGATGGCTATACTGCAGATCCCTATCTCCTCTGAATTGGGGAGATTGCCCCTCACATTTGGAATGAATTACAACATTAAACTGGATGATCTGGTGCCTTTATGGCATTTTAGACGTTTACTTAAAGGACAAGTTCGGTATTTTACACTTAAAGGATTGTTCCGCATCATTGTTGAGGTGGGGTGCAACGCGTGCAACCACAGAAACCAAAAATTCTTGGGCCAACAACATGTGTCCAAATTTCAATCTTAACCGTTCTATTTATCAGAAACGATCTTAAAACAAGGCTTTACATGTAAAATACCGAATTCGTCCTTTAAGGATCATTTTATTACTGACCTGTTTGCATTTTCTTTTTAATTGCTTTTAATTTATTTTTGATTGTTTACTGTACTGTACACAGGTCGTTGCTGTAAATGAGAAATTGTTCTCAACTCACCTGTGTAAATAAATAAATAAACCTCCTATTTATTAAATAGGCCTACATACAATGTTGCCAACATCTCAGGCGCGTAGCCTAGTTTGTGGCGCCATCTTGTGTTCATTTGTTTTATGGCAGTGTTTGTATTATCGTTTCTAAAAGTTAAATAAAGTAACAGCATAGATTATCTTAAAGTTTTGACAGATAAACATGATTGTTTGACAAAAGTATATCAAATAACCGCTAGTTTGCAGTTGACTGGAAACGCATTTCCATGGTGATCAATCTAAACTTAAAACATTTCTCTCTGTCTCCTGCGTCTCCTCTGCCACTTTATGTTCAAAATGTGAGGAAAGAAAATTATAATATAATATAATTATAATAAAATTATAATATAGTATAAAAGTAGATGAACTCACAAATATCGTGAAAGCTTCCTCTTTGCTTATCCTCAGTTTTGGCTCCTGACTAAGGTCATGAGTCAGTAGTCTCCATGGCAACAGCAAGCGCTTCTCTCTTAGCCCCGCCCATCAGCAACATTTGCCAGCTGTTAACTTCTCCTTTCAATTTTTAGCTTGAAACTGCCATCATGAAATTTGCTCCGGTTTTCTTCTTTTAACGTATACACTATTGTTGTGATCTTTTATAATAGAAACAAAGGTAAGTGTCTGAAATCTCTGTGCAAAACTATTGCGGTTATTAGTTACTTTTCCTGTACAGAGTGTTTTTGCAGTTGCCAACCGTTGATCGCAGAACTGTTTAAACACAGCCAGGTTACGTTACACATTTATGTCGTTATTATATTGCTATCGATTCATACCGTTGTACTGTAATTAATACGGTTACAAATCGATCAATGACATAAGGACATCCGAGATGATCAGAGCAATCTTTTAAAAATATTGTTTAAATCTCATGTCTCAGTTCTTAGAAGTGTGTGTCCATCGCTGATCTATAAAGATAACCACTGATATGTTATAGGCTAGTTACAACGTTTACCAAGTGATTTTTTAGATTAATTAATGACTGGTAATATAAAAACTAGAGTAGTAAACTACATTTTCCTAAACGTTTTTAAACATATTATAGACGGAAAACAAACTTACTGGCGACTTTATTTGGTACACCTTGCTAGTACCAGGTTGGACCCCATTTTGTCTTCAGAACTGCCTTAATTCTCTGTGGCAAAGATTTAACAAGGGGCTGGAAACATCCCTCAGAGATTTTGGTCCATAGTAACATGATGGCATTACGCTGCAGATTTGTCAGCTCACATCCGCAATGTGAATTTCCCATTTCACCACATCGCACAGTTGATCAATTGGATTGAGATTTGGTGACCGTGGAAGTCATTTGAGTAAAGTGAACTCATTGTCATGTTTTAGAAACCAGTTTGAGATGATCTAAGCTTTGTGACATGGTGCATTATCCTGCTGGAAGTAGCCATCAGAAGATAGTACACTGTGGTCATAAAGAGAGGGATGTGGTCAGCAGCTATACTCAGGGTAGGCTGTGGCATTAAACAATCCTCGGTTGGTATTAGGGGCCCATAGTGTGCCAAGACAATATCCCCACACCATTAACACCACCAGCTGCCTGAACCATTGATACAAGGCAGGATGGAACCATGCTTTCATGTACAAAGTAGTTTATGCCAAATTCTGACCCTACCATCTGAATTGCAGAAATTACCATTTCTGTTGCAGCAGAAATCGAGACTCATCAGACCAGTCAATTTTTTTTTTTTTTTTTTCAAATCTTCTATTGTCCAATTTTGATGAGCTTGTATGAACTGTAGCTTCAGTTTACTGTTCTTGCTGACAGGAGTAGCACCCGGTGTGTTCTTCCGCTGCTGTAGCTCATCTGCTTCAAGGTTCGACGTGTTGTGTGTTCAGAGATGCTCTTCTGCAGACCTCGGTGGCTGCTTGAGTTACTGTTGCCCTTCTATCAGCTCAAACTACTCTGGCCTCTGACCTCTGGCATCAACAGCTGCTCCTTACTGGATATTTTCTCTCTTTTTTTGACCATTCTCTGCAAGCCCTAGAGATGGTTGTGTGTAAAAATCCTAGTTATTTAACATTTTCTGAAATACTGGCACCATCCTGTCTGGCACCAACAACCATGCCATGTTCAAAGTCACTTAAATCGCCCTTCGTACCCATTTTGATGCTCAATTAGTACTTTAGCTGTACATTTTGTCCATTTCTTAAAGGGTTGGTTCACCCAAAAATGAAAATTAAGTCATTAATTACTCACCCCCATGCTGTACCAACCCCGTAAGACCTTCGTTCGTCTTCGGAACACAAATGAAGATATTTTTGATTAAATTTGAGAGCTGTATAACTACCACATTGGCTCCTAAGGGACTGCCTCTTGACGGCCCAGAAAGTCAATGAAGAAAATGTTTAAATATCCCAAGTGACTACCGTGGCTCAACTATATGTTTATCAAGCGACGCGAATACTTTTTGTGCGAAAAAACAAACAAAAATAACGAGTTTATTCGACTATTTCTTTTCTTCCTTGTAGGCCAGAAACGAGATTTCCTTAGATTTCCACGACGCATGTAGTCACGCAATGCTGACATTGTTAACATTAACAATTTGAGAACAAAGTACAATTTGCATGGTTTTGCGTGACATGATAATCATATCATGATAATAATAATATTATGATAACAATAATAATCATCGCGATTCACTGCAATGTCAGAACCATAACAAAGGTGGATGTTTCTTACAAGTTCAGGTGACATTTGCAATGTCTGCAGCTTTAACAATGTGGCCTGATAAAGAGAAGGCTTTGTGTTTTGATAAAATATCATTAGAACTTTGATGATACTTTTTGATGATACCACATCGTTATTTGATCCTTTAATTATGCTGATTTTAGTCAATCAATCAACTTTATATTACTATTGATAGACTATATATTACTTGTTTGCCTGATTGCTTGTAAATGGCCTGGTAAGCTCAGAGATCGTGCAGTTAAGAATAAGACCAGTGATTTTAAAGGTGTGGCTGGTTGTCTAGAAACAAGGGAAGTGAAATACTAAGCTGCTTATCAGAGGGGTTGTGTTTTGAGTTGCAGAGAGACGGTTTATTGTTGATATGTAAACTAAGAGGCATCAAACTCAGTTCAGACACTATGACACAGTTTCATAGGAGCGAGATGAACCCTTACCACAAGCATTTTCAGGTAAACAGCAAAACAGATTTGTGCGTCTTTGACTGTTATAAAGAAAATTGCTCTTTAAGAAATGGGAGTTCTCTTTCATATACAATACTCACTTAATAGATCTATGTTCTGTTGTTACGGCTGATGTAATAAATGTAGGCCAGCTATGCCAAGGCTAATGAAGGCTATAACTACTGCACAGAGCATAAGAAAGGCAATGCATTTTTCTCTCTCTTTCGCACAAAATATACAGTATATATATATATATATATATATATATATACAATTTTTTTTGAAATTGACAACGACTTTAAGAGTTGTCATAGAGACGATAATGTTGTCTGCCATAGTATGCAGAAAAGAAAAGTATTTCCTTCACTTGCTAAAAGAGGGCATGTGCCTGTGCGTTTGTACTGTATATTATGGGTGTACTATCTCTGAGACAGTGGTTTCCAATTTTGTTTTAGAATAGGAAAAAAGAAACCCTGAAAAACCTTTGCCCCATCCTTTTAAAAATTATATATAACATAGTAATAAGTACAATGAATAATAAATAATAATAAATGATCTGTTTTAAGCTTTACTGAAAATGTAAACTGCATGTTATCTCAGCGTTTCAATGTTTTGCCTTCATTATTCTGTAAACATTTCTACATCGCTGAATATGTAACATTTTAACAGTCAAAAATATTATTGTAAATGGCTCAAAGAAAAAAAAACAGGTGATACTTTGAAACAATAGAAAAGCATGTGATGAACAGTCTGAAATGTAAAACTTTTTTCAATGAAAATCTCTTTCTCTGTCATTTATACTAGTCAAATGTTGTTGTTTTTTATGTTTTTGGAAGAAGTCTCTTTCTCTCTATAACTGAACAGATAACAGTATCATATAGTTACCATAGTTATATGGTAAAATTTGTATGTCCTCCTTATGCAGTTATCTTCATGTTAGTGGTTACTTTCTCAATAGTAAAGAAAGAAATATGAGAAAATAAACAGGCAGCTTAGAGAAAGAAGTATCGTATGCTCACCAAGACTGTGTTGTTTGCTGAAATAGCAAAAACAGTAATATGGTAATAGTTTTCGAATTTAAAATAGTTGTTTTCTAGTTTATTCTATTTTAAAATGTAATTTATTACTTTCATTCCAATATGCTGATTTGGTTGTAATAGCTAATCTAAATATTCTTTGTTTTCTCTCTTTCTCTCCCCATCCAGCCTCTGGTTAGGGATCACCACATTGACTCATCTTTGTATCTCAAACCTTTCACCATGTTGGGTCAGTTCTCCCCTACTGTGTCCCCCACACCACCCCAACTTCAGCCCTTCCGCTTCCGCTCACGCACTGAGTCCATAGACTGGAGACGTCTCTCCGCCCTTGACGTGGACCGCGTTGTGCAAGAGATAGATATCAGCATGCTTCAGGACTTTATTATGACCGTAACGTTCTGTGCTGTGGACGGCGAGCGGTGTCCAAACTGCCGTGGGCATGCCGACCCTTCTTTGATCAAGCTGCTTCGTATGTCTCAGCTGAGCACTGAGTACCTGCTGCACTGCCAGGACTTCCTGAGCACTCAGCTGTCAGGACTGGAGGAGCGTCTGCAGGGGGCGCTCTCTTTGGTCCAGCAAGGAGAAGAACAACGAGCAGAACTCGAAAAAAATCTCCAGGACGCCAAGCTGGAGAATCGACGGAGAAAGAAGTTGATCAGCACTCAACAGCTCCTTCTGCAGGCCAGTGCTAATAATTATCACAAGGTGGATTTCTTAAAAAATGGTACACATAAAGAGCTTTCGAAAAGGCTTTTAAAAATGGTTCACTCACATTCAGTACAGATCAAAAAGTTTGGGGTCCATGCTATTTTTTTGCTACTTTGAAAGAAGTCTTATGGTCACCAAGACTGCGTATATTTGATCAGCAATACAGCAAAAAATAATAATATTTAACTATTTTTTTTAAATTACTCTTTTCTATTTTCATATATTTTAAAAGTGAATCTATTCTTGTGATTATCATCAATGTTGAAAACAGTTGTGCTAACTGTATGTGGAAACTGTGATAATTTAATAGAAAAATTAACATTTGACAGTTCAAAAGAACAGCATTTATTTGAAATAGAAATCTTAAGATACATTGTGCATGTCTTTATTGTGGTAGTACTGAGCCCAAACTTTTGAATGGTAGAATATCTATAGGCTAATAAACACACTTTTTTATATTAAGGTGAACTGCCTTTTTCGTGCAAGAGCCTAGTAAGCATAAAACCAGATCTAATGTTTCGATCCCTTTTCCTTGTGAAAGTGCCAGTTCTGTGAAAAATCATTTGTCAACTACTCCTACTTACAAGCACATGTTCAGCGAAGACATCCTGAGGTCACAGATGCAGGTTGGTGAGAAAATGTGTCCAAAAACTCAAACAAAGTTTCATAAAATTTCAGATATGGGAAGCTAGCACTTTAATTTCACTTGATAAATATGTTTCTTTGATGTGGTAAAATAATAAATATTATTTTGTCAATTCAGAATCACTTGTGCATGTGTGTTCTCAGAGAGGCAGAAAAAGAGGAAAGTCGAACAGATGGAAGATGGGATAGAAGAACTGAAGGAGAGACTGAGAGTGACACAGTTGCAGCTACAGGCAGAGAGAGAAACCGATATTTTGAGGCGGCAGCATGTGAGTCAGTGTTTGAATCAAGATCCAGCTCTAATACATATAGCTCTAAACCTCTTAAATAACCCTATTTCTTTCTACTGTATGTCTATTTCCAATGTCTGGTACTTGCTGAACATTTGAATGTTTTATTTATTTATTTACCAGTTTAGTATGCCTTATAGTACAGAAATAGGTCACCTAAAAAATTTCCTAGCTGCTCTTTTCAATTACAACGAAAGTGGAAGGCGACTTGCAAATGAGCATTTTTGGGTTTGGCAATATCTGATTGCACTGTATTTTTTATCAAAATTAAAAAAAAAAAAAAATGTTTATTGGGGGAACTCAAAAGTTTTGTGATCAAACCCTAAAGCACTGAAATATAATTTTTCCTCCTTATAATACTGAGCGCCAAAAGGGATGGGAAGAAAAACAAACATTTTGTGAGCAAATGCAAAAGTTGCATAAGAAAACAAATCAGAGGCTGAAATCAGGCTTGAAAAATGCCATTTATTTATAAATTATGACAATTTTTTATGTTAAAATCATACTAACATTAAAGGGCACACGGGAACCAGTATATAAAGTAATAAAATAATCCAGTTCATGACCACTCCATATGAAATACCCGTTTAAGTACCTTTTTGTTATATAAATAAAAAAGAAAATATATAAATGTATTCTGTCAGGAACATGAAGAGCAACAAAGGAGAGAACAGTCAGAGAAACAAGTGCTGGAGAGATGGAAAGAAGAACAGAGAATGAAATTTCAGCAGGAAATTGGAGAGCTGAGACAATTGTTTCTCCAGGAGTCAAAAGATATGGCAAGCAAGAGCTCATCCATAGAGGCTGTGAGTGTACACCGGTTTAATAAAATGAACATTGTAAATTGTCACCAGTAGATGGAGACAGATCCTTTGCTATGTATTTCTACCAGCCATTCAATAGAGGAGCTATTGGAGGAACATGTAAGATGTTTTTGCATGATGGAAAAGTAGATTGGTGTTGTTGTAATAATTTTCTATGTTATTTGTCATTGTTTCATATATAGAAACTGCTGGTGTTGCAGAACAAAGATGTAGGTCTATTTAACAATGCCAGTTTACAAGAAGAGATTGACCTTGAGAAAGAAATGAGAGAAAACAGAGAGAGAGAGCTGAAAGAGATAATGGCGAGGAAGGTAAGATTTCTCTCCTTGCTCAGTGAGTCATGCATGAGTAATTAATACAATGCACTTTTAAAATGAATGGACATTATTATTCACTGTCCTCTAAACTGGCAAGAAAGGGATTATTCATCTACAACTCAAAGGCAGGTATATGGTGAACGGGATTTCACCAAGTACCACATGTTCCTGGATTGTAATCTTTGTTGATCCTAGAACAACTTTCCAATCCAATCAGATTTGAGGGACAAGTTTACAGTTTAAGTCAAGTTTAGGCGTAGAACCAGGGTGAATACGTAAACATCAGTGTTGTTCACCTTTCATTACCCTCTGATTTTAGGGAAAGGTTATGGGTTGGGTTAGGTTTAGGGGTAGGGATTGGGTTTGGGTTTTGGAGGACTACATTTTGGGACAGGAATGTTGATTCAGGATCAACAAAATATGTTGATCCAGGAACGTCTTACTTGGCAAAATCATGGTGACCACAAGGATATATACTGTAGAGTAGGGGTGTAACGATACACAAAACTGACGGTTCGGTTTTCCCACGGTTTGACATCTCGGTTCGGTTTAGAAAGCTAAAATTGCTTTTTTTTTTTTTTTTTGCTTTTTTATTTATTTATTTTTTTAACAGTGGTTTAATGAAAAAAAAAAATTCTTTAAATTAATTCAATTAAAATGAAACATTTCGCAAGGATTGAAAAAAAAAACAAAATCTGCTAATGTTGTAAACTATATAGGGAGCCACACATTACTATAACATTAAAGGTTGTAGCCTAAATTTTTAACCTAAATTTAGATGCTATTTATTTTTTAGATATAGTAATCAACACGCAACACATTGTATGAAAACATGTAAACCGAACATAAGGCAGTTTTTGCATTATCTTGTGTTTTTACTCTAATTTGTTATTGAAATATAATAATTTACACAGTTACATATTTTAAACATACATTAAATAATCAAGATATCATTAAAAGGTTAAGTAAAATATAATATATAGGCTAACATAGTGCATTTATTTAGTGCAAGAGTTCATTTATAGGAACCAAAGTTGCGGACACTGAATCACTTGCCTGTTGAGGTAAATATAATGCTAGTGACAAGCTATGCTGTTTTATTGACGTCTTTCCGCTGCTGAAACACTGATTGAGCGATTACACAATTTCATGATGCCTTTCAGTAAGTATACTGTTTCTTTCAACATACCTTCAGGTATCCATTCTGTAATTGAGGAAGAGATGATTGCGTTTACTCGCGCGCCACTTGAAATTTTTGCCCAAAACATAAATAAAGTGAGCCAACTTACTTAAAACTACATAGTGAGTTGGCTCACGTGATTTATGTTTTGCATTTCAGAATTCCTTTAAGGAAACATAGTGAGCATCGGTGCTCCCTGGTTTTCATGGTGCATTGTGGGAGTTTTTAGGGAGCGAACGTTTCATTGCACTGTAACTATTTTGCGATTGAGCCAGCCTTTAAAATGGCTGACTCTTTGAACAGTGACCTGACTACTGACCTAACTAGAGAGCTGATTGATATGCACCTACAGTACATACTTAAATGTATTGAGTTGCTGCCATGTGATTGGCTGATTAGATATATGCATTAACAAGCAGTTGAACAGGGGTACCTAATAAAGTAAGTATTGTTAGTGTATAGTAAGTTTTTGTTGTTTTTAATCTTTCAGAACAGTGAATGGAAGAAGAAATACCAGGAAGCACAGAACAGACACCAGCAGAAGCAAGAGGAGGCAAGTATTTCTGCTATTCTGGTCTTGGCAACGTTTTAGAATCATCTCATGTATATCATCTTGTATGTGTATGTCACAGCTGAAGAGGGAGAATGCCAGGCTTCTGGAGGCCTTGTCTGTTGAGAAAAACTCTGGCTCCAGTTTGAAGAAACTTCAGCAGCAGGTTGTCTCTCTCTCTTCTCAGTTGAGCCAGAAGGACAGACTCATCAAATCTCTGGAGGAGAAGGTTGGTTATTTACTTCACATTCACAAACAGTCGAAGAAAGTGAGCAATAATATCATGCAATTGTCAGAATTAGTTTCCTTAAAGGTAGAGTTCCACTAGTTCCACTTCCAAACATAATTACAAAAATAATGTTTCCAGATTCCAAAGGTTTCCCCAAACTGACCCACTAGCCCTCCTGCTTCAACATCCCATCGTTTATTGCAGGACACCCTGTAAAAAGAAGCACCACAGTGCTTACACTTTGGACAACCGTCAAATTTATTAACATGATATTATTTTAAAGTTATTCTCTAAGTATTTTCACATTGAACAATTTACACTTTATAGTAGTTCATAATTAGATTATTAAAGGGATTGTAGTTATTGTAAAATGATCTCCTAATGTCTTGATTCTTAAACGCTAATTATCTTTCTAATTGATGCTTTATCACACAGATTAAAAAACGGTCGGTCATTCCAGTCTCAGGTAATGAATTATATCTATGTGGACTTACTCATTGCTTGATTAAATAAAATATTGTTGCTTTGAATTAAGTTTAATCTGGTTTGGCCCATTTCTCTCTCTCATTTGGTAGTTCCAGTGGTTTCTCAGAATGCCCAAGATTCTCCTGAGGAGCTAGAGGAGGAAGGGGAGAGTATGTGGTTCAGTTGTTTCTAAGTGCAGTATACTGTATGCATACACCAGTCATGCCATTATGTATTTAAAGCAAACTTGTACATGCACCTCCAGGCTTGGATGATTCAGATGAACCCCAGTGGAAAGTTCGAAAGTTAAACAAAGGAAAGCCAGAGCTGGTGAGAGAGTCTAGACCCGTTCTAGAAGAATCACTGGAGAAAAAACTGGAGAATATGGGACTACGGAAGGTAGAGCACATTATAGACACAAATGTTTACATTTGACATGTGGCAAAAGGGAGTAAAAGGGAGTTTTTTTTAGGAAATACAACACGATTTCATTCAAACTGCGAGATCTTATTATAGTCTTATTCCAACATACAAACCAAATAATAAAGTAAAAGACTCGTTTTCTGACCAAAAAGTTCATTTTGGACCATGGACACATGAATATTATGTAATTCAAAAACATTGCTTAGTGGTTAAAGTGATGATGTTTTGGCAGGGTACCAAGGGCATCTCTAAGCAAACATTTAAGAGTCTGAGTCTACTGTTGACTGGTCAGCGGGAGCAGAGATATAGACAGCAGCCAAACCTTCAAAACCATAGAGAAAACTTGGTACATGAGGTCACCAGGCGAGTGAAAAGCCTACAGAAGAGCCAGGGGCAATTAACACCCAGCACTTTGAAACAGAGTGAGCAGAAGTGTTATTTATCATGCCACCACACTACCCAAATTCATACATATTTCTTATCTTTTTTTCATATCATGTTCTATTTGATTGCTACTCATTTGAACCAAGATCAGTCAATCGTGTTTATCTTTTTTAGAGGGGAAGAAAAATTCAACACCAGTGAAGGAAAAAAGGCTCAGATCTAGTGAGGGCACAACGCCGTCCATTCAGAAAGCCAAAAGACTACAGCCAAAAGCACTTATTCCAACACCCACCCCACGCTCCAATGCACCTCCTCAGATTCAGACTCCAAAAACAAAGCAGAAAAAGAACAGGTATACTTTTTTCTTACAATTGGAAAACATTCAGACTACTGAAAACACAAATGAAAACGAAAACATGAAATAGAATTGTGAGAGGCCAAGCAGCTTTTAGCTTAATATCAGTCTTTAATTAATATATTTCTGTCTTCAGCACACCACCTTTCAGTTCAGATGAGGATGAGACAGTTGAGGACAGTGCCTATGTTACAAGCTCAAGGGCCAAGCCATCCACCTCTGTCCGCCTTGTTCAATCGGGATCACTGATAAACCCAACAGCTGAGCCTGAATGGACAGATAGTGAGCTTTCAGAGGCTGCAGACACACCCAGAACTCCCAATCCACATGGTGAGCAAATACCAAATTACCTATACATATTTATTTATTTTAATCACAAAATGGCCATTTGGAACTAGTCTGAATAGAATTTTATTCTTAGAATTTTATTTAGAGAATTGAATATACAGTATATAAATGATGTATATAATCACCGCTCCCTGACATCTTTATCAATGTCTAAATCATTTAGTTAAAATAGAGTTCTGCTGTGATTTATGTATTTTTGTAGGCCAACCTGGAAGTTACTGTAGCATTACCCTGGTTCCCTTGAAAAAAAAAAAACAATAGGAAATTTCTAATGGCTTTTAATTATTATAGAAAATAGACATGTGACCAACAAAAGTTTGATTCTTGTACATTTGTGATAATCTTCACAAATTAACACAACTTTTGTTTTCATTTTGAAGCCTAAATACAATCACCAGCAGTAAAAGGCTAAACGTAGGCTGTAAACAAAGTGCATCACAGTTGAAGACTTTAAATTTTTCAAAAAAAAAAAATTCAAAACAAAAAATTCACTGAAAGTTTGAGTTAGATGGGTTTCCAAGAGCACAATTATAAAAAAGCAGACTAGTCAGTAGATGAGTTTACCTGTTCTAGAAGATGACATTTAATGTCCTCGAATAATACCATTTAGCCACTTGTAAACAACCACCTTTTTCAAGACAAGTAAAAGATTTTAAGTGTATTACTGATGTATTTCATGTTGTGAAATAAAATCGTTAAAATGTATTGAGCTTGTATTAACCACGGACCTTATTTCAGGCATTTAACCAAAAAAACAGTTCAAAAAACCTATTAACGTTAGGATGATGGAACCGAAAGTGCTAAAATCACTTTTTGGGTTTTGGCTTACAAAAATGTATCATCCTTGCAACACTCTATAACAAAAGAATAGACTAATTTTTTTTTTAAATGCCACCCATAGAAATTTGTATTTGAATTCTATATTTTATCATATTTAATAAACTTTTGTGGACAGGGGTGAAATTTCTTTGAATTTCCTTGCAGTAAATTCCTTCCCGTCATTCCAATTCAATGTCCTGTGGGATGTGGAGAATTCAGTTTAATTATAGTTTAGTCTTACATTACAGTATTAGTCGGTTAACATGAATGGTTTATGATTGCAGGTTCTGTTGTCCAAACACTGACAAGAAGTTTGGAAAGACAGTTAAGCACACCAGTCAAAAAGCCTGTAGGCGGGACTAGGGTTATGCCACCATCCAGCCCCTCCCCTCGTCCTGCCATTGTAAAACAGAAAGCGGTAAAAAAAAAAGCTTGCTATAAGCTATTTCCATACCTATAGAAATCTTGCTGCAGAAATATAATTTGTTGGGTCTTATTCACTAACCATGCATACACACAAATTTGTGCATGAATTTTTCTTATGAAATGAACATTCATGATCCATCAATAGCTTCCATTCTAAAGTTTATTCTAAATTTGCAAAAAATGTAAGAAAACGGAAACCACTCATACACAAAAATCACATATTATTGGTGGCCTTATAAACATGTTAAGATACAATTTTAAACATAGATATAAATATTAAATATATTTCATCACATACAGTATATACAGTCCTACTCGACCAACTCCGAGCCGAATTCGAATTCGGGCACGCTAACAAGGCGCTAAAAACTGCTCCTCTTGAGGCCATCGGTAAGAGAGAGAACTCTGATTGGCTGTTCAGTTTAGCGAACGAGTCAGTGCATGAGAATAAGAGCAAAAGTGATGAAATCAAGCAAAGAAATCATGACGGCAAAGACAGAAGGTTGTTCTAATTTCACGTCATCTTACCTGAGCATTCCACTGCGTAAATATTTTCATAATAACATGAGCTGCGTGGAATAAAGAACGTGATCAGCATGATTGATATTCAAAGCGGTTGCAGTCTTAGTTTTGCTTTGCCTTTTCAAATGAAGAATGTAGATGAATATATCTGCTTAAATAGACAGTTGTTAAGTGAGGTTTACACGCACAGCTCTTACTGGCCTATGTCCGTTACATAAGCATGTGTTTTAGATTAGGCGTAAAGTTTTTCTGAGAAGCTCAAATGTGCGTATAAATACGAACAGTGTATGCAATTATTAGTGAATGAGACTCTTTGTCTTTAGTATTGGACTGAATGGCTTTGTATCATACCTGTCTTCTAGCTGTCTGATGAAGATAGTGATTTCGAGCTGTCTTCCATAGAAGAGCTCACAGCAAACCGTGCAGGAGTACGCAAAAGTTCAGAGGTCGGCGGAACCTCGGGAACCAGTGCATGGAGTTCAGCGGCCAGTAGACCAGGAGCGTGGTGATCATGTGTGATGTGACCTGTCAAATAAATGCATCTTTTCACTCCAAACCCAAAATTGCACTTAGACTCGTATATAATTTACAAGTGCATTTGCAAAAAAAAAAAAAAAAAATCATTATCATAACTGTACCCTCAATTTGTAGCCAAAAATATCAGCCATTATTTGTTTGTGTGCTGTAGTATAACCTTGAGACACTTAGTTTTTTATAAACTGTGCACTTGATTGAGACACATTTATTTTTTAGCAGCCAAGCAGGAAGTAAATTTTCAATTAGCTTTTTATATATACGTACAGCAAATTACCATTTGGTTTCAAAACCTTGTGTGTGTGTGTGTGTGTGTCTGTAATATTTAATTATAATTGATATTTGAAATAAATCTTAATCTTATATTGAAGACTTCCTGTCAATCGTGAATATATCATATATATGGGGCAATAAATATATGGTTGCTGTATTGATGAAAATGAAAACATTACTCGTGACCTTATGAAATATAATTTAAACAAAATCAGGTTAATAAATGTCTGAAGGCCCATTCACACCAAGAATGGTAACTGTCTGTCTATTATAAGTGTGCACTACAGTTATGTTTGTCTGCTACTTTCTGAGTGTCCATAAAGGCGCTATATAAATGTGATGAATTATTATTATTATTATTACTTTAAATACTTGTTCTCTTTAAAGTCTCTTTAAAGGATTCTGATTGGCTGTCAATTAGTAATTTGCTCATCACCTGAAAAAAAAGCATGCTGAAAGTGATTCCAACTATATAGTTCTTCATCTTTCATAATTTAAAGCAAGGCATCATCATTTTAAGTATGCTTATAGCTGTAGAAGTAAGAATGCAAAGTAAAACAGTAGCTAATGAGAAAATATTTCAAAGTAAAGGTGAAACACGATAGTTTGCAACAAGTGAGTTGGCTTTAAGTTCTGACCAAATAAGCGACCATGCAGGCTACAGTCGCCACAATAGCTTGGCTGCATGTTCTTATCTCTCGGGCAACAGAGTTGGGTTCCTTGCCATTCTTATCAGCACACATATATCTCAGAATGAGATTAAATGTTGAATCGCACCCCTCTCCGTTTCTCACCAGGCAACGCAAAACCTGCCTTCCTACCTGCTCTTTCAGCAGCGGCCTGGCGATTGTTTGTCCTATTTTACACCGTGACCTAGAATGGCTTGCATCCTCATAAAGAGGCATAAAGGTTTCTGGCCTTTAAATTCTGTCCCTGCCTCTGAGCTCTGATAGCCTGAGTTGCTGCAATCATTGTGGGCCCTCCATTAGCGAAGTCTCGGAGAAAAGAACCCAAGGCGTGCAGTGTTGGTGAAGATGAAAGACTCTCCAGGGAAAATGGTGACAAATAGGGTGCCATTTACAGCCTTTTACCCATGGTTACCTGGCTTACTTCCTCTGTAACTCTTCTTCCCTATCCACTAGATTGATGCCTAGTTGCTATTGCAGCTCAGCTGTCACTAGAGGGCGCAGAGTGTGCAGAATAAGCGGCTTGTATCACAGCAGGAAGCAAATTTGCAGAGCACTTGATAAGAGTGTTTCTTTTCATTCTCTTTTCTTTCTCCGAAGCCCCAAGCGGACACAGTTTGTTTGTACTTCGAAACTGGCCTTGAGGATTTCGCACTGAATGTGGGCCAGTCAAGAAGAGGACAATTAGGATTTTTAGCCACATTTCACACTCGAAATAAGTGTTGAAACAGTCAATCCATAGTTCCTCACAATCTTCTGTGTCCTTGTTCTTTATCTTCTGTCCATCCCGAAGCTCCATAATGCCAGCGCTGCCGCTTTCAGCTGACAGACAGAGGATTTCAAATCCTCCAAGATGAATGCCCGGGGGCCCGGCTTCAATGAGCAGCATCCACTAATACGCAACACCAAGCACACGAAACAACATCCAGCACGGCTCTCGCGGAAAGACCGGGAAATGGCAGATTCAAGTGACATTGAAATCGTTTTTTGTTCTAACACAGAGGAAACACAGATGCTTGAAACTGACATGGTCCCATTGGGGCTGGAAAAACAGCAGGCTTAGGTTCTCCATAAAAAGCTGGTGGAAAATAAAGACCTTTTCTCTATTACCGATAGCCGCATTTAATTTGTTGACCCCCGGGTCAGAGTCTCGCTGAGAGTGAGGTCGCAGGGTGAATTTATTTAAGCTGTGCGGATTTTCATCTTTACTATAGGAAACATAAACTCACTCAAGAGATCGGCAATTGGATTTTATTGTCCAAATGACTTGCAAACACACTTCTAAGTGCGGTCTGGAGCTGTTCTCCATCACGCACGAGTGAAGAATCACTTGACAACACACTGAGTTGTGGGTGGAGATTCCTCCAGGAAAGCAGAGGTCCCCTGCAATTGAAGGATGGGCACAAACTTTTGCTGTTTCCTGAGCAATTAACCAATCAGGTCTGGCAATATGGTGTGACAGAGTGAGCACATCACGGGCCGCTGCGACTCACATCCGTTATGCATTGAGACTGGCCAGATCTAAATTAGAGAGCCAATTAACTCTGCTAATAGCCCTCTCCAATTTAATCTGGGAGACAATGGGGGATTGAAGACGATGCTTTATTAAAGACGGGAGCTCACACAATATCCTTTTTCTGCTACGATTCGGAGGGCCTCCACTCACTGCCTTGTTTTCGCTTCAATTAGCCCGCCGCCTCCCATGATTAAGTGCCTATAATTATTTTTCAATTAAGGCTTTGATCTGCAGTATACTGTATACAGCTTCTTGGCACGACAGAAAGAATGAGGATGAGACAGTGAATTTGTTCCCTTTCTGTTTGCCGTTGATGGGGGTGCGGAAGAGATTATGTTTGCAGCGAGGAAGACCCTCTGGGATGGACACTTCCTCTACGCAAAAGCTGATGAAAGCGCAGCTCGGATTTAGTATGGGCTTTAAAGTTGGCGTTTCCTGAAATTTCCAGGTTTGAGTTTGTTCAGGAATATGAATCATGCTAATAAGAGGATGTAGCATGGTGGTATAGCGCACATGCTGTGCAAATTGCAGGTCCTGGTTCAATCCCTGACATCTCCATCACAATACTCAACAACTTGCAGTAAATTGGACTATCCCGATTAGCAAATCCTGAATACACAGCACTTGCAAACTGCAGCAGTGAAGGTGATGTAACTCACTGGAAAGGTTGATGCTTTGAACTTTAAATCGCTTTGGGAAAATTTTGTGTTAAATGACAAGTGACCAATAAGTGTGTGGGGATTTTGGACCAATGAAAAATAGCTTCTGGTCTCTGAAAAATTAAAGATGCAAATATTTGCACAAATGCATTACTTGGATACATAGTGCATTATGTTATAATTTCCTTTATATATTTATATAGGCTATCTTTCTTTTGCCATATAATTGATGAGGTATGGATTTTTTCATGTACAATGTACAAATGTATCATGTCTCCCAAACAATATTAAGCATCATATGTTAAAATAATTTTATATTTAATAATTTGCTCAAGTACATGTTGACTACATTAAAGGAACAAAAATATACTACTATAATCTAGTTTCAAATGCCTGATGAGACAATGCAATAAAGTGTTATCATAATGAACAAATCTTTTTCCAAGTCAATTCGTTCATTTCGTTCGTTGAATGAACCAAATGACTTGAAAAAAGATTCGTTCATTTTGATGAACGAGTTCGAACAGGAGTCACGAACGCGCATTACAAAACAGAGCAAGGCGACCATTTGAGCTTATAAAACTTAAACTTTATTTTTTTTTTATAAATGAACGATCGTTTCGCATGATAAGACCCTTATTCATTGTCTGAAATCGTTTAAAGCCCTTTGAACAGTCTTTTGGACCTTGAACCGTTTGGTTCCCAGTAAAGTGCATTATATGGAGAAAAATCCTGTAATGTTTTCATCAAAAATCTCTTCGACTGAAGAATGACATGGATATCTTGGATGACATGGGGGTGAGTAAATTGTCAGCAAAAGTTTTTTTTTTTTTTTTTTTTTGTTTTAAAGTGAACTACTCCTTTAATGTGTCAACATAATGGGAAGCGGACTAGCCCGGCACAATTTTAAATTTGTCGACTAAGACGTGGTCGTTAGATCATCAGCGCTGTTTTGAAATTGCACTCACTTTAATTTGCCCTTTTTAGTAAATCTGCCCCCAGGTGTAAACGGGTGTTTTCCTCGTCTATCCATGATTCGATCGACCAAAATCTGAATACAGGTGTAAAGTGTATTTCCTCCACACTAAGGCCTAGTCCACGCGTTTGTATATTTTAGCAAGTTTTTCCTTTTTTTGTTTTGAAAACGCACATGAAAATGCTAAAATATGCTATGAATCGCTGTCAAGATCATTCCCAACCAACAGGTGGCGATATAACCCTAAACGTAAAGCCATGTTGGCCAATCAAAAGCTTGGAAAAAAAGGTTATTACGGTTCCGACATCACAAGCCAAAATCTGCGGTTTCACCGTCTACATAACAACCAGAGTTTGTAATAATCTTTGGCTGGAGTTTTGAAAAATATTCAGCTTCTGTGACCGGATACTGCGCTGGATACTTGCGCGTGGACGAACGACCAAACAGCATAGAAAAAGCTGTGATTTTGAAAACACCCGTGTTAGTGTGGACAGGGCCTAAATCAGCCTTCCTCTGCTGCATTACCTGTGCTGGAGGTGATCAAAGAGAGGAGGCAGTGCCTGGATGGATGACAGGACGGGCTAATTATCAGTATAGCTGCAGGGATTAGAAGCGATCAGAGAGGAGGTATGGCATTCAAGGGGCGGTGTGGATGTGACAGCTTCCTTTGTGTGAGAAGCTTTAACTACTAGGCCTCACCACACCCTCCAGGCCCATTCTGACATCATGGTAAAGAGTCATGGAGAAGAGCAGAGGGGAAATATTGCCATTGACAGGGGGTTGTTTCACCATCGCCAACAGATCTGTGAGCGAGTGAACAGCCATATTAAAGTTAGAGAGACAGACAAGTATTGACACAATGGGTGGGGTTAAGCTAGAGTAGTTATGTGGTTACAGATATGGGAGTTAAGACCTCAGGTAACAGTCAAGGAAAGAAAGGGGGAGATTTAAAAAAAGAAACGTTTAAAGCCTCTGG